ATCCCGTTTGAATTGTGCCACGAATTACACATATGATGTTTGTCAATCTTAAAAAATCCTTTCCATGTAAAAAAAGTCACAGTTTGTCTTAAAACTGTTGAAATATAAGACTATGAAAAATACGCAACTAGAAAGACTACAAATCCCAGAATCCCGGTCCCACATGCTGGCTCTCACGGAACCGACTAACTCCCCTTGTGTGTATGTACAGCTCTCAATATGCCCAGACTTGGAGTGATTTTCACCTCTTTTAATACTTTCCGCCTCATTCTGAAAGAAAGAAGTTAAATGTGCCAACGTAACGGCCGTCTTGGTGTGTGGTGCGAGACGGGAGATGTAGTTCATTGAGCGGTTTCACACACAAAAAAGTGTTACTTCACAGTTTTACGACACATTTTTATTTTTTTGACTTGCAAAATTATCTTTTAAATTGACAAACATCATATGTGTAATTCGTGGCACAATTCAAACGGGATCGAAAGATAATCTTTCTCTCCCCATTGACTTCAATACATACTTTTTCCGAAATAAGGTCCCATGGAGGTCCCCGGAAAGGGAGGGACTTCGCCTCTCTATTGAAAACAAAAAATGAGGGAGCGCAAATGAGAAAGCTGCAGCGAGAGCAAAAGTCTGATCATTGAGAAAGAAGCAAAGAGAACTACAAACAAAAAGATATGTTAAAACAAAGAAAAAAGAGTTATAGTTTACATGATTACACAAATGATTTGTTTGCAAATTATAGTTTTATTTTTTTAATGAAATTTATTTTGCTTATTTTTTTTTCTCTTAAACTCTTAGTTCTGCTTGATTCGGAGAAAGTGTTGCTTTATCTTTATGAAACAAAACTAATCCCATAATAATCATGTGACCTTTGAGGACAGTCTGCTTCCTAAATGAAAAAATCCTAAATTGTAGGATAGTTTGGCATTTATAATGCTTTTTGATTACATTTCTAGTGGGAAGTGTATATTTTACTTTCAGAATCTACATCCAGTGGATGTGTCTATACAGTATGACAGTTATTACGAAAATGATTTCAAGTCTCGGCGAACAATTAATATCTAAGGTTGTTACAAGGGACGCAGCTCCCGCTGCTCCGGACACAGGGAGGGAGAACTTTACACCCTGAAGTACGAATTCTCCTTACTGGCGATTTATTTGGTGGTATGTTACAATCCCGTTGAAGTTAGCTCCACTACAAGAGTTGTTTAATCAGGTTTAATCAATTGCAGCACCACACCTCTGTAACACATGGTGCCGCTTGTTTGAACCATATTCAGGCGATTTGTAATCTATTCTAGGATAACAATGTTTTTTTTAGAGAGTTCAAGGAGCGTATGAACAAAGAATGGATGTATTTTATGAACATTTATCTACGATGGAAGTAAATTGAGTTGTTCTTGGAGTTAGATACAGAGCATATTTCCAAGACACCGAAGTCTGTGAAATATTATTCCCTAACACATGTCCACAGGGATCAGCACTTTTACGCAGCCACAACAACAGCCTCTGATTCGTCAACAGACTTCATGCAATGCTTGATGGGATGCATAATTAGATTTATAATCTTTATCTTACTCCAAAACATCTCGATTGTGGATAAATGTTCATAAAATACTAAATTGTTTCATACGCTTCTTGAACTCTCTAAAAACAACATCGTTTTTCAAGAATAGATTATAAATCGCTTAAAAAATGGTTCAGACAAGAGGCACCATGTGTTACGCAGGTGTGGCGCTGATATAGTAAAAATAATATGCAGTCCAATTCCAAAATTGAATTATTCCCGGTGCATAGACAAACACTCAAGGTGAATGTAAAAAGTGTTTTAACAAAATAATTGATGGATACACTTTAAATGAAATGTTGTTGAAAAAACTAAAGATTTTGATGCAAGAATGACAATACATTCTTCCGGGTGTAAAGTAATATATCTATCATAATGTAGATCCTACACATCCACTGGAGGTAGATTCTGAAAGTAAAATATACACTTCTCACTAGAAATGTAATCATGAAGCATTATTATGGCCAAACTATCCTACAATTTAGGATTTTCCACTGAAAAAAGTGTTGGATTCAAGATTCAAAGGTGTTATCATCAGATGCTCAGAAGCTACAGTGTAGAAATGTCAATGAAATTCTTCTGACCTGAGCTCCTCCAACAATGCAACATATATAATAAAATACAAAATAGAAATGTGTGCAAAAAGTTTATATACATGTAATATAATAGAATATGATATTTACAAGAACAGAATATGAAATTAAATAATGTAAATTAAGAAAAAAATTACTGTAATACGGTGTATTGCGTGGATAATAGACCCAATCACAGTGAATGTTCAAAACTAAATTTGATACATTTTTCTTTTTCATCTCACAGTGCACATATTTAAGTAATCATAACACAAAGCTAAAAGTTAATCTGTTTTTCCTTTCTCTTCTCAAGAGTGCTTCAGAGGATGGCTGATCAAATAAAATGCTGAGAAGACCGAGAGGGAGAAGAGGGAGAAGTTGGCCGGTTACTTCATTTAGCAAAAGATACAGGACCTCGTGAAAAAGGGGAAGAAACAGTGTGGAGAGTATGTGCTGCAGGGAGGTGGATGCACAACGCACCCAGGAACGAAAGCTAGCTCCGGTCCTTTTCCCGTGAAACTGTGGACTCGAATACCAGCTCACTAAATCACAACCGCTCAAACCAACTACAAACTACTACCGCGGATTGGGCAGAGAACGAGTCCGAGAAAGTTGCTCCCCCATGTGACGCAATATGACGCGTTTGACGTTAAAAAAATGCCTTTTTTAGTAGCAGAGCTCAAAGCGGCTCCTTTTCCTCTGAATTCCTGCCCTTATGTCTTGTAACACATATAAAATCCTGCATTAACATTTTTAATTGTAATTTTCAGGCAAGGTTAAGCATAAATGTAGTAAAAAAAAAAACCTGCAAGTTGCTCTTTAAGCTTTTGCAGACCATTTACATGCACAAAACATAACACACTACAGGCAAGGGAAACCCCCAAAAAGCACAATAGGGCCTCTTTAAAACAGCAGTGACTAAATCTCACTGACTAAACCAACATGTCTGTATATCCTACCAGAGTGATGAACGAGTGTGGCGGCGGAGTCCTCCAACAGGAAGTAGATGGTGTCGTTGGATAGAAGCAGACAGCAGGTGAGCTCAGACTCTGGAGACTTGTAGAGAACCACAGACAGCCACAACACCTGTCTCACCTCCTCCGACTCAGACTGACACAAAACATTTTAAAAAGCAGAGTCAAAAACAAAACAAAGATAAAGTGTGTCCCTTTCTAAACATGAACAACAAGGAAAGGGAAAAAAGGCTTTATCGCAGTTCAAAGGTCCTCCAAGAAGAAGAGACTTGGGGTCGACTCAGAACTCTACATGTGATTTGTGCCCATGGTTTGCTCTGCCTTGGCTAACCAAAAAGTAAAAGGTAGAACAATAAGAATGTTGAAAGGAAAAAAAAACACACCACTTTTGATAATTAGTCATTTAGCAAAAGTTTCCGCCATTTTGATTTGCCTTTTTTTCCTGTCTATATGATAATATAGCTGTTTTTTGCACTGACCCTAACCCAGTGAACCGTCAGGGCCTTCAAGGTATTCAGAGAATACCCTGTAACACTCAGATAAAACAAACAAAATATCGATTTAATTATATAAATAAAATGTATATAAAATGAATAAATGAGAATCTATTCGTGTCGTTGATCTGTAATATTACAGTGTTACGTTGATTTGTTTGTCCTTCTCGGACCACGCACTACGCATTTCAGTGGTTTTGTGTTAGAAAAGAAAGCAACCAATCAGATCTTGTTCTGGGTCTCTGGGTATCCTTCAACCAAGGTATTCTACATCCTTGATAGAATGCCCTGGCCGTTGCAATGAATGAGAGCGTACGTTTGGACTGACAGTTTGATCACTCAATCATATATTGATTTGTAGCCAATGGGCGTATTCTTTCAGAGTTCCCCTCGGTTCCAGGGTACTCTAGAAGGCCCGCCACCAGCCAAAAAAGTGTGGGCACCCCTGAACTATGAATGCTACGAAGCAATTCATGCAGTTTTATTGTTTTTAACGTTGAAATGGCAAGTGCAACAGGTGAAGATGAAGTTGTTGCGGAATTGTTGAGTACCCTTTTCAAGACGACAATTCAGTGAAAAGACGGACATTATAACGGCAGGGGAGAGGCGGCGGCGGGGGGTGCGTGTGTCTACACAAGGTCCAGTTGTGATAGACACGGTTTGCCACTTCCCGTTACAATGTTTTTTTTGGGCTTCGTAAACTCGAGATCGAAACTTTTTGTATATTCCCGACATTCTAGAAACAATGTAAATTCAATTTACAAAATATTTAAATTCTTCATGTTTTTATTCATAAGAGTACAAAAAGTACACTTTATGTGTATGTTACCTCTGCTATATATCTATGAAAGTGAGTCAGCAGCTGCTCCCCTCCGAGCCCAGCAAGGAGCTTCAGTCCTGGGGAGAGACTTGGGGTGAGGTGGGGGGACGGCTGGTTCTCCTCCACCTGGAGACGGGAGGAGTCCCAGCTGAGGAGAAGAAGGAGGTCAGAGAAGTAGAACAAATATAAATACAACCTTAACCTCTCATGATACCTCTGTTAATCAGAAATGAATAGACTCTTAAAGAAGTCAGAGGGTATGTGCTGCAAAGAGTCTATTTAGCTTTCAGAAAAAGATGTACACGGCTCCAAACAAGGAACAACAAAAAAGTAAAGATTTCCTTTGCAATTTTTTTTTTTTAAATGATTATATCTGTATTTTAACATTTACAAATTACTTCAAACATTTTGATAAGAAGTTTTTAAATACTTGTTACCAAAATATGTCCTGATTGGGAACATTTTAATTTGTGCTTTTTGGTGGACAAACTTTGTGAATATTATAAATATAATCTCAAAACATATCTCTGATGTTTCTGATAACTAATCATCACCCAACACAAAGTTGATTGGGGAATATATGTGATAAAATCAACAATGCCAATGTATCTTACTCTTGTGATGAGGTGATGAAATTACAGCTTCATTGTGGCAAACATGATTGATTCTGTACCATGGTTTGTTTTAGATAAATAATGTCTGATAAATCAGTGCTCTGATAAAATTAGTGCGTTGTACTTACAGCATTAGAGGGTTTAATAACAGCAAACGTGTGATATTAGCATGCAGCTTTCAATGCAGCATCAAGTGGAAGAAGATTTACATGGACAGATAGTATTTTATGTTACACTGCTTCAGAAGTGTACCTGTTGGTGCTGTGTGATTTCCTCTTTCTGGAACAACAGCACTGGTCTCTAGATCCGTGGCGGCCTGAGAACACAACAACAATGTGTCAACACACGGAGAGAATACACCAGTAAGAGTCAAACTAAATAAAACCATGGTATTCAGTCTTAACCTTGTGTGTGCGGCCCGTCCTGTGGACAGGGCAGAGGCAGGGCGACCATCCAGAGCCCCTCCAGAGCAGCTCTCCTCTGCCTAAGCTCCCCCAGGAAGGAGCTCCTGTTCTGAGCCAGAGGGAAGAGCAGCAGCAGCCTCTGACCGCCCAGCAGCAGCTCCACAGAGTGACTCCTCCTGCGCTCAACATAAGAGTTCAAATACAGGTGATGACCAAAGTTAAGGGTGAGGAAACTAAATAATTAAATAGGAAATCGCTTTTCTGTTTTACAAAGACATTCGGCTATCTAGACATTACATTTGTGTCCACAAACATTCACTGTTAAGTATGTTTTACCCAATTATTTCAATTTTCTGTAATGAATACAACTTATCATGTTGTTGTTTTTTTTATTGCATTGAAACCATGATTAAAAAGCTAAATACCAACAAATATGGACTAAAGAAGAATATTCTGTTGATATGTGGGGCATTTTGGAAGTTATATTATTTTTGTGAGTAAGACTTTTGGAAAAGTTAAAAAAGAAACATTTGTAAATATTACCATTTTAAAACTAAATATAATAACACAAATAATTTATCTAGCTGAAACCCCGTTTAACAGACTTCATGTTGTTTGTTTTTTTTGTCCAAATTATACTTTATAAAAATTAAATTGTCAGTAAAAATCTGGCATATATAAACAAAAAATAAAAGCTAAAAAATCCATTGACCCAGCCACAGCTTCTGTACCTGTGGAGGTGTTTGGGGTCGGGGCAGGAGGTGTTGCTGCTTCTTTCCTCGACCTTTGAAGTCCTTTCTCCAGGGTGGAGCACCATGGAGCCGATGGGCACACGGACCAGCCTGCACCAGGAAGAGGACGAGGAGGAGGAGTGATGAAGGCCAGCGCTCCTTCTCTCACTCTCTGCCAGCTCTCTGAAATCAATCTTCAGCACCCAGAGGTGTCTGTGGGTGAGAAAGAGGAGGGAAGGGAGGCTGGGGTCCTCTCTGCTGGATAAGATGTCTGACAGGAGCGGGTGGGTGTCCGGGGCTGAGAAGGAGGTGGAGGAGGAAGGAAGGAGAAAGGCAGCATAGCCTCCCTGGGCCCCCTGACTCTCCTCCAGCTCCCAGGAGTTGATGAGCGAGCGGTGGAGGAGCTGAGGAGGGAGGGGGGGCTCGGGGTCAGGCTGAGACTTCATGGCCTTGAGAAAAGGAGGAAGATATGTGTTTTTTATTTTGGTATTGACATGTATATGCTTCACATGTCATACTGGTGACCTATGGTAAGAGTGTGGGAGAGAAACCCCCCAAACATCTATTTGGAGACCATTTACAGTACATGCACAAAAACCTGTATAGCACACTACCGGGACAGGCGAACCCCAAATGCGTAATATAAATAATAATAGCACATTTAATTGTTATAGTGCTTTTCCTGGTGCTCATAGAAGCTTTACATAAAATCAGAAAAAGTACAAGGTAATACGGCATTGTGTTCATTCATATTGTTAAATAATATCCCAAAGTAACCTTTTATACTCACTTTCAAAATGTCTTGACACTGAGTTTACATAGAATTGGGATTTTTCTTTTTTTAAAGTTCTACCGTTAGACAACTAGACCGAAGTATGTCCATACCAGATTTCTAGACTTTAGTCCAACCAGAACCACTTTATGTCTTTACTCATCGTGATAAGATGTACTGACTGCAAATCAAGTTTCACTTTTGGTGCAACAACGTAGTGAACTGCGATGCTCTCTCCTGTGAGAGAGTTGTAATATTTAAAGAACATCTAAAATGATCGCAATACCTACTAATGTAATAAAAACTTTAAAACATGTTTAAAAAGGGAAACTATATTGGACTATCTGTACTGTGAAATGTAGGAACTCTCAATGCTTCACATGCTGCTCTCTGACCTGGATCAACACCTTCAGCTCGCTCCTGGTCTGCCGGAGCGCCTTGGGCTCCGAGAACAGGAACCAGCGGGTCGGAGCGGCTTGGAGGCCGAATGCGAGGCAGGAGTCAGGGAGCTCGGCTTGGGAGGAGAGGAGGAGCTGTGAGTACGGAAGCAGGAGGTCCACCTGCAGGCTGGACAGCACCTCCTCCACACTCTGCTCCTGGTCTGAGAACAGGAGAACAGATTGCTCTTAATATTCAAACACACAGCAAATCAACAAGCGCAGGTCATGTCATTAATTTTTGATTAAATGCATGCTTTTAACACACAGTGAAAAAAAGGCAGTTACTGTTTTGTGTGTTAGCACGGTGATCCCTTGGTTTTCTGTCAACATTTCTTTATAAATCATTGTTGCTGTTTATACGTTATTATTAAAAGGAAAGCTACGTGGATTTTTTAAGTTTAGCTCTGTTAATTTTCATAGTAAACAGTTCTGCATTAGACCTGGTGTTGCATCCGGACTTGGATGTGCATGACTGTAGGTACCAGAACATATCACAATGCCTTTCCATGAACCAAGGCACTTCTCATCAAGCACGATTAGTTAACTTGACAACAAGCAGCAAAGTAAACTAATATGAAAAACTAAATCTGATTGTGTGTTTACCTGCGTCCTGATTGGACCGTGTGAAATCATCTGACAGATACATCAGGCACAATATTTGGTCTGTCAGCACCAGGCAAGCCTTCTTTTGCTCCACTTCCTCCTTCAGCTGAAGACAGTAGCACCACAGGACCCTGCTGACCTGCACCTCCTTCTCCTTCTTCCTTTCCTTTTCCTCCTCCTCCTCCTCCTCCTCTTCACACAGCTCCTCCTGCTGGCTACAAGGCTCCTCTACAGAAGGAACAGCGAGCGACATGGAGGAAGAGGAGCCGACGGACTCCTCTAAAGAGTCATCCAGGCCCATCTCGAAGTATCCGTCCCTGGAGCCTGGACTGTAATAATGAGAATGAAATATGAATCAATTATTAACGTTTTTTGAATTTGAGGGGATCCCAAAAACTAATGGGAACATCTGAGGGGATTTGTTTTTTAGGGGATCTCAGAAACCAGTGAGAGAAGGTCGGTGGTTACATTACCTGAGGCTTCCCTCCTCAGAGCACTCCACATGGGACTGAAGCTCTCTGCATTTAGACCTCTTGTCTTCCTCTCTCTCCTTCTCTGTCTCTTCCTCCTCCACCTTCTCCCTTTTCTGCTCCTTCAGAATGGAGCTTACCCGATGGGAGAGCTGGGTAATGAAATCTTTGTTGGAGGAGGAGAGGGAGAGCAGCAGAGAAGGAAGTAGAGGACAGCAGGCTGCGCTGCAGGAGAAGCAAGGGGTCTCAGCTGGTCTGGAGGAGGGGGAAGAGCAGCAGGCGCAACTGGAGGAGAAACAGGATGGAGACCTTTCTTTTTACACTGTTCAGAAATGACTACCAGACTTTATTGCTTCAGTTTCTCTATCTGCTCATTTTCATTTCATAAACACCCCTGCTACTATTTCATATCCTTGGTATAAATTACACCTATGGACGTTACATTTTTAAATAACATTAAAATGCTCCTCCATTATTAAGACCATTGGTTCCATGATAAAACATCCATTTGCAAATGCCTTTATTGGTTATGGGGCCCTACTGTGCTCATTTTCAGGTTCATGTGTCTCTACTGTGGGGTTTTTTCTCATACTGCCTGTGCTCCAGCACCTCTTTTCACCCTCTGTCTGAAATCAGAGCCCAGTCTGCTCTGATTGGTTAGCTGGTCGGCTTTGTTGCGATTGGTCAACAGCTTAGAGATGTCCTTCCCCTTACCCTATAACATTCAATGTGTTGGAGCGCTAGCCAATAGAAGTGCGAGTGTCACATAGTTGTGTCATTATGTGACGGAAGGAGAACAAAGGAATCCAATGGTTGGGGGAGTGTGTGGGAGAGAAACTCCCTTTGGGAGGAACACAGGGATTATAGCAAACATAACACACTACAAGAAAGGAAAACATGGAAAAGGATAATACCCTTTAACATCACCAAGCAAGCAACACCAGAACCAAACAGCATTGACCCAAGTTACAGCTAGCCATTTCACATTAGCATGCTACCTTTTTAATTTGCAAACTCTACAAAAATAGTCTCTAAATATTACAACACCTCTACCTTGCTATTATTATTTTACTCTTGAAAAGTCATCCCCAATACTTAACTTTGTGAAAAGGTGTTTAAGGATTAAAAGTAGATTTTCCCCAGCAGTAGATTAAGAGAAATACAATAACCTTTAAGTAAACGTGCCAGAAATTGTATTTAGAGTTGTTGTGGTAAATATTGTTATTTGATACTGACCAGACAGCCTTTGTAGAATTTGTAGTAGTAGTAGTATTAGTAGTAGTGGTAGTAGTTATGCTTGTGGGGGCTCCACAGAGTGTGTGTTCAGACAGACTGACAGCAGGTTGGTGTACCTGCAGACAACAAAACAATATTAGAGTGCAGCTGAGACTAAAGAGAAATATCAATACATTTGCCAAAATGTGTTGTCTTTTTATCAAGACATATTGTTCAATGATAAACTATTACACTTTAAATCTAAATTATAAGTTTAGTTTGTTCTCACATTATTCTTCCTTTACATAACATATTATAGAGATCTCAGAACAGTCACAATGCCATCTGCATAAACTATATCCTGAAAATATTAAATCATTTGTAAACAGTCCTCTGACAAACTAATGCAAAAATGTCCCAAAAATAGTCTTGATAATTGAATAGTCTTTTTGCCTTGCTTGATCCATCAAGATATTGAGAGAAAACTGAAGGATGTATTGCTGTCGTGATCATTGTTTAGAAATTAGAACCTAACATTTGTTGAAAACTCAAACAATCATCCACAGATATGAGATTCAGCAAACGCTAATTGTCTGTAATTAGGTCGTCGCGGAACTTGAGTGCAAACAATATTGTATTTTATTATTTAGAGACAGTCTAAAGTGAATCATTTGTTTTCTTCCCAGCAGAAACTAGAGCAATATGTGATGATAATATAATGGTTGTTTTATGCTGCCCTCACCTGGGTGGAGTCAGCAGACAGGAGGTTTGTGTTGGTGTTAAAGCTTGGTGGGGGGGGTGCAGCGTCCACAGGCGGGAGAGTAATGGGGGAAACGGAGTCTTCTCTGCTTGTCACTTCTGAAACAGGAAACCAAATAAATGAGGGTTGCTGTGAGGCGAGGAGCAAGCTCTGCATGTTTACTGATGTCCTTCTGGGTTGATTTACAGCTTGACAGTTTATATTTTCGTGCAGAATAATTTGACAAGTTCTGACCAAAACATATTGAATTGTGATCAAAACATGTTGCACTAATTTGACGGCTGAAGCTAATTAAATATAAATATTATATGATGTTTCTTGTCTTAACAGTAGTTACTAAACGTGGGGTCAGAGAAATGATGGGTATTTTTTACACGTCAGAACCCTAAAAGTGTAAACAAGATTAAGAGATAATCATCAGCACAATAATAGATTATGACAAAGATAAATTGTTGTCATAATCTATGAAACAGTCAAAATAAAATATTAAATAACATCTAGCTTCAGTTAAACATATTCATGCATACTCAGTTCTGACAGAAATAATGTTTTCAAATGTTATAACCTATATCTCATCATGCAAAGTGTGAATCAGAAACAATGTTCCAAAATAGACAAATCCAACGTGCACTTAGTTCTTATTATTTCGATAGGGACATTCACACAGTGTGCAGCCTGTGCTAAGCCACAAAGACAGATGTTAGTCAGGATTATCAGGGTGTCCAACAACCTTCAGAAAAAAAGATGTTGACCATCAGTCGCTGGTTAGTTTTTCCCCTTTGTGCTCAGCTGTTGGAACAGCCACCACTCAGTTTTAATTAAATTAATTATTCAGAAATAAACTTGTCAGATTTATCTCAAACCTAGTACAACATTTTTGGTTTGAAGGGTTTGTTACCAAACATGGCAGCAGCAGAACAGCAACTACCTTGTTCTGCAAGGTAAAGTTATTGGGTTTTTCTCCCCGAAAGTGCTGTCTGCTGGCAAGGTAAAGCACTACAAATATTTGAAATATAACATACAGCTCGACTGATAATGATTTTTTTTGGTGGATAAAATACATTTTGCTGCTGCACTATTCAAGCAAAAACATTACTTAGCTTCCGTGCCTCCTAAAAACCGGACCTTTCTGACCACCATCCACTGTTGGTATTCCACTAGCAGCGCAGAGGTACACGTGCAATCAGTCATTCCCGTAGTCTAATAATAAGACTAAATGTTTATTTTAAGATGACATGGTGATGGTGCTATTAATCTTCAGTCACCAGACACTGATTTATCTGTCATGTTGAAATAAACATGTTGTTTGAAGAGTTGTGTTAAACTCAACTTAAACGACTTTAATAGCTGCAAACCACCTATTCACTCTTGAAGACATTTTTGTGGACATTTAGCTGACGCCAGGTTTCTACTCTGGCACCTGTAGATGAACAATTCTTATTCTTGCCTACAAAACCCTGATTCTCCTATAAGTAAAACATCTGAGATGGGCAGATTTTTTTATATTACTGGTTGGTTTGGTCAATTTAATTAGAGCTATGAGTTAATGAGTCTGTTGCAACCTTTGCGATGGACAAATGTCATCTTAGTAAAGATTTAAGTCAGTAGGGGCTTAAAGTTATGAACAGCTAAAGCAACAGGCAATTGGTCACCATTTAATGTATATACAGCTCTGGAAAAAGTTAAAAGACCACGGCAGCATTATCAGTTTCACTATTTATAGTTATGTGTTTGAGTAAAACCTTTTTTATTTGATTCTTTAAACTACTGACAACATTTCTCTGTGTTGGAATTCAACAGACACTGGAATGGAATGTCTGCCAAACATGTAGAGATTGAGAGTGGTCTCTTTTTCCAGAGCTGTACAAGTTTGAGGAGAAAAGCAAAGCGTATTCTACAGGAAATAAAGCACTGGGGATATCTGGTTTAAAACAAGACAAAGCAACAGCAGCAGGTGAGCTACATTAGCTAAAAATATGTTGAATTGATAATGAAAATAATCACTATTTGCAGCCGCAGCACCATCAGCTGCTGTTTTGGGGAAATCAGCTGACAAAGAGCAGAGAAACACACTCATCTGTCTGGCTGTTGCCTTAAATCAAATGATACAAAATCCCCACCCCCCACCCCTCCCTCAGCCCTGCACAGCCTGATACATACATGATTACCTTGGCTGGGGCAAGAGGCCTGCTGGGCCGGACAGGAAGAGAAAGAGGAGGAGGAGGAGGAAGAGGAGGTGACAGTGGGAGGAGCGACAGCAGAGGAGCAGCAGGAGGAAGAGGAGGGGGGAGAGGAGGAGGAGGAGAGGTGAGGAGGTGCAGCAGCAGACAGCCTGGTCTCCTCACTGATCTGACGAGAGGACAGAGAGGAGGAAGCTTCAGAGAGCAGTGACATCATGGAGCAGAGGAACATCCTAACACCTCCACCCAGCAGCTCCATCAGCAGCAGAGGAACAGTCACACCGGGGTTGAAGACTGATATTTTAGCTTTGAATACAGACACAGCACTAGTATCTTTAAATGAAAACAACTTGACCAGTGCTAGTCCAGTTCAGTTGTAATAATACTGTTTATGTATCTGGTTGTGTGAGTTCAAGAGTTAAAACTGTGCCATTCAACTTTCAAAATCGTGTTCCAACTTGTGACTTGGTTTCACAGTTTCATTGAATCGTGTAGAATATGTGAACAAGCTGCATTCAATGTCCTGCTTTTCTGCTTGCTATCTGGACCCAAATGCACTTTAAATATCTCAACTTTCCTGAATAAAAAAATACAATACAAAATATTTCCAACGCTCTCATTGAAGAACAAAAAAAGGGATGGTTCACAGTATATGTTCTACACATTTTCGGAAAAAACTACACTGTTTTGTAGGTTCTTTTTTTAACACAATCAGTTTTAGCTCGGTGCATTTGAGTTTTTCAAGTATTACAACCACCCAGATGTCATAATCACTGTTTTAGGCGTCTTTGACTTGCTGTATGTGTCGTAACTCTGCTGCTGATGTGCACATGTTCAGGCTGAAGAGATCTGTTAGTAATTATCGTTATCAGTCACATCTATATGAGCGGATCTCTTAATGGCCTATAATCAGGTTAGAATGATAAAACACTACAGAGGGTTTCAGGGTTAATTCCTATGGAAGATATGAACATTATAACATTTAACACAGGTTTGGGTTCAAGATTCTTGTTGAGTCTTGGGAGTAAAATCTTTGCAAAACAGAAAATACTGATAATGTTAAAAATCCCCCAAAACCTGAAAAACAATCAGTAAAAACCTCTTAGAGATAATAAACATCCCTAAAAGAGATGAACAAACTACTTATTGACACTTAATATGTAAATGTATCATTAATTATTTGAGCTCTTATAAACTCATCTTTTAGGTGGTAACTGTCATTATATCTGACAAAAATACAGACAATTTAAATAATACAAACTGGTTTGTTGCTGCCTGAAGTCTAATGAACGTACCTTCTTGTCACCGCTGCTCATCCTGTCTTTGACTTCTTTGGCTTTCTGAATTGCTTTCAACACTTCCACTGTGTCCAGCTCCTTCTCTGTCGTCACCTTACCGTCCAGACAAACCTGAAGACGCAGAGAGAAGAAAACACGTGTGACAGTCCTGAAGTACGATCAAGAGCATTAGTAGCAGTAGCTCTAGTAAACTAAACAGCAGACATCTTGATACTAGTACTATCAGTATCAGAATCTGATTATACTTAATAAATATACTTCATTTTGCATGTTTCTCTCTATGGGTTTTAAAAAATGTAAACAAATAAATAATAGCAGTGATGAAAACTGTAATAAAAACAGCAATCGCAGCAAAGAGGAAATACAAATAGAAGGCACTTCTTAAATGAAATTTACAAATGTTCAAAGTTAAAAAATGTAAAGTTAAAAGGGTACAAAATGTACAGGTTTTATTAAGGGTTTAATAAATAGCTTCTTTTTTTTTTAAATCAATTCATTTTTATATTCATTTGTGGTTGCAGTCTTTGAGTGTGCTTGTGTGTGTCACAGTAGTTGTATAAGCAGTTATATACTATATTGGTAGGAGCGGTGGTACTTGTAGAGAGAGTCATTTCTTACTACTGTGTGGATTAATACAAATATTAGGATTTAATTCAATGTTAAGGGTGTTTTAGCTGTGCAGTAGTAACAGTACGGCAATACAAAACATTTGGTGCTATTGGCTACAGTAGAAGCAGTAGTAAAGAGGTAAATATATATATAGTGTGGGGTTTCAGTGGTGTACCTCTGATGCCCGGTCTCCAAACTGGGCCAGCACCTTGGTCCTGTAGTCCGGGATGATGCACATGGGGTTACTGGACAGGTTGAGTTTCTCCAGACAGGGCAGAGAGCCGATGTTCCTGATCTCCTCCAGCTGGAATGAAACACACACAAGTCACAAACAACCCAAATCCAATTGGCTTTTTGTTAAGGGAACCAGACGAAGCTAAAATGTTGGTTGAACTACATAAATATGTCTTAATAGATATTTTATTTACAAGCTAGTCATTTAGTGTTTATTTTTTACTTCTTCTCTGATAGTAGCATATTTAATACATTTTGTAGGTGGCAATGTTTACATTTTTTTGAAGATTTTTTTCAGGCCACCAGTGCATTGTAGTGACAATTTTATAAAGGGGGAGACAGAGGGGGTGACACGCAGAAGATGGGTCCCATGGAGGATTCACAGCCGGGTTATCAGCATGGGGAGCCCTTGTATATCGGTCGCCAAGTGCTCTAAGCGGGCCATTGGTAATGTTTCTATTCGGGCCGCAAATGCATCTTTTGCACTCTCACAATCAAATATAAAAAGAAAGACTGCCTGTCAGTTTTTATGTTACTCTCACTCCTGGTCTCAGGACGTCCCGGTGTTCTTACCTGGTCCAGCTGGTTGTGGCTGAGGTCCAGGTTGACCAGTGAGTAGAGCTTGGTGAGGCCGCTCAGCTGCTGCAGCTGGTTGCCGGCCAGACTCAGAGTTTTGATGTTTCCTAGACGGGTGTGAGCAGCTTCCAGGACTTGCAGGCAGTTGTAGGACAGATCCACATGGACCAGATTGTAGAGGTGCTGCAAACACAGAAAGGTTACTTCACAGCTATTGATTAATGACAAACTAAACATCTGTAGGGGTGTCTAACTGCAGCTGTCAGGACCAGATGCAAATCAGAAAATCTATAGGAACATTTTTGCAAAATCAGAATCCAAAATACTACATTCGAGAGTAGAAATAAAAGATAAACAATTAAAATATGTAGAAATGTATTTTTTCTACATACAACAGAAGTGTAAAAAATAATAAGCTGAAAATGTTATCTATGAAACTATTTTTGGACTGATGTTCAGACTTAATTATTGTTGGGCTCTTTAAATGATTTACTGATATTTTACAAGATAATCAAGTAATTGCTTTATCTAAAATAATAATGATCTATAAACTCAAAAAGAATAGGTAGCTGCAACCCTATAAATGATACTGACATAAAAGGGAAACTGTCCACTTACCTGGAGGTTCTCCACTGTGGACAGCTTGTTGTGACTTAGATCCAGAAACTCCACCTTAGGAATCAGTTTCTGCAAAAGAGAAACACTCAGAGTCAACCTACAGAACCAGATGTACCTTAACATTTCTTTAATCACTTACCCATGCTTTCTTTAGCCCTTTGTTAAGATATTAAGGGCATGACCTGCTGATATAACATATTTGTACCCAGTTTTATTCAAAAGCAAATGCTAAAAAATGATATCCAGCTCAAGATATTTTCACTTCAGACAACTTTTTCAGGATGTCCATGGCCAGGAGCATGCGAGGAGGTCCAGACAGTGTTTTCTGTGCGTGTCTCACCACAGAGCTGTCGATGGTGCTGATGCCGTTGTGGCTCATGTCCAGCGTAGTCAGATTTCTCCACACCGGGATTACCGCGGTGACGGGACAGCCTGACTCCGCCCCCTCAGCCTCCCACTGAGAGAACTCGCTCGACTCCGGGACCAGGATTGACTAGAGGGAGACAGAAATAACATTACCATCAGGTCACGGTCTACAATAATCTGCATAAACACTAGAGAAGTATTTAATGTAGACCTTACCGTCATAGTTTCCATGGAGTGGTGGATACTCAGAGTTGCCAGACTGGACCTCAGAGATGAAAGACCTCGGATCTGCTGCGAGCTGCACTCACTGATCTGAAGACGGACAGTTTGAAAAATGTAAGGTGAATTTGTAAATAAATGAAATACAGTTTTTTTTAGTTGTGTATTCTAGGGCTGAACGATTAATTGATTTTAAATCGAAATCGCGATTTTAAATGATGCGATTATCAAATCGCAAAGCCTTTTTTTTTTTTCCTTCTTGTGTTTNAATGTTATAGATAATAGAGAGGCGAAGTCCTGCCCACCTACTTCCGACCCATGGACCCTTATTTCGGAAAAAGTATGTATTAAAGTCAATTTCTCTCTCATTGACTTTAATACATACTTTTTCCGAAATAAGGGTCCATGGGTCGGAAGTAGGTGGGCAGGACTTCGCCTCTCTATTATCTATAACATTTTGATTAACTGTGGATCCCTAAAATATGCTTTAATTGAAACTGATTAATCACAAATGTGCGTTGTGTGATGTGATTAATGGTGTTATAAAAAGCTTGTGTGTGACTGAGCTTTTGGGATCATTTCCACGTAGAGAGGAACCAGGCATAATATACAACAAAGCCAACCCTCTTCTCTCTCAGGATACGTACTCGTTGAGTGTGAAAGCAGCCTGGCTGAGGATGATGCTCTTGGAGGCCACAGCGTACGCAGACTCCAACAGCACGTTGGCGGCGGTCAGAGGTTGAGACATGATGTCAGTGACGAGGAGCTGAGAATCAGAGGAACAGCGTCACTGTGAGCGCATTTAAATGAATCAAAAACACACAGGAATTGTTAGCAGAGTGAAGCTCGACGTTCTGTTAGCACCCTAAAACGACCAAGTCTTGCCAAAGTAAATAAAGCGTCTGAGACAGGGAGCTCACATTGGAGGCGTGGCTTTAACCTCACATGTAATTGGCTGTCAGTCATGCACAACAAAACTGCAACGCAAATTGATAGCACATTTACATGAATGCATCGGGGTTTAGTTTCCACATGCGTACCTGCAGGGTGGGCTGGCTGTGGGACACGGTGGCCGGGCCCTGAGCGCTGACGATGACCGGCACGTGGAAGCGGTTGTTGGAGAGAGCGGCGGCCGCGCTGGCCACGCTGAACGCCTCGGAGAGAGAGTCCCAGGACTTCTTACCGAAGATGGAGTTCACCAGCTGGATGACCTGGTCCTGTGGGGGGGGGNNNTTAGTAGACTATTAAAAGCATCATTATTTAGACCCTCCAGAAAAACGCGATTCTGCGATCGCAGAATTTACCGCATAATCAGCAAAATGGCGCATATTTTTTAAAGGCAGCATATTTATCAAAAGGCCACATAATCCCCGCATTTTTCCACCCAAAATTGAGAAAAAAAAAGTTAACTCGTCTTGACGTGACGTCATCAGCTCGCGCATCACAGAATGTAAACAACACTGTATAGAGTGAACGTGTGGAGCTCACACAGAGAGAAAACACCAAGATGAAAATATCTAATCCATCTCATTTACCAACGAACATTTCTACTAAAGACCGGGCAAAAAGTGGGGGGAAACTATTCTGCACCCCGTGCAACTGTGTGTTGGAGCATAAGAGAAAATCGACGGTGACGACCCACTTTGATTCATTCAAACATTCGAAAATGCTTTCTGCTGCTGCGGACAAGAAAGCCAAACAACTCACGTTCACCGAGGCATCAACCTCCAAAACCCTTTCGAGGGCTACAAGAAACGAAGTGAGTAGCCTACAAGATTGAAGCTGGTCAGATAACGAACGAGTAAATGAAAAAAGAATGAGGCGGAGAAGTGTGTGTGTGTGTGGTGGTGAGATTAAAATAGCCCAATTGCTTTTACAATAAATAAACATTGAATGTGGTTAATTGAATAGTAAAGGGGTTTAACGTTAGTGGCAGGTTGTGTGTGAGAGAGAATAAATAAGACAGCCCAATATATTAAAAAAAATCGATAATTTTTTCCCGCATATTTCGCAACTTTCCGCATATTTCGCAACTTCCCGCAGTTTCACCGCATAAAATCACATAAAACCCTGCATGTTTAATCGCATAATAAAGGATTTTAGCCTGCATAATCAAGGAATTTAGCCTGCATAATCAAGGATTTTTGCCCGCGTTTTTCTGGAGGGTCTAATTATTTACTCCGACAATAACTTGTATAGCTCTAAATGGTGAATACTGATTGAAGTTTTTGACACGTACCTTTTCCACACATGGAAACCCATTTGTGACCAAAGACAATATTTAGTATGATAAGAAAGAAATCCACAATTGTTCTCAGACGGAAATGCTTGAAATATGGAATGAACATAAACTATTCGACTATCTTACAATAAAACGTTGACATTTTATTCACAACACATGAATAATTGCAAAGATCTGCTGCCTCACCCGATATATTATCACATCAGTCATTCCATTCATCATTAACTCCCAATCCAGAAAGGCACCTTTACCTATCTGCTGCTTCCTAGCTAAAGTAATCTTCCTCATCACCTTCATCATGTCGTCCTGCAGGGAGCGGTACCAGCTGCGTGAGGCTCGGAGGATCCGTGACCTGGACCGGGTGCTGCTGGGGTACCAGACGTACCCTCAGGCTCTGACCCTGGTGTTCGACGACCTTCCCGGCCCCGACCTGCTCTGCCACCTCACCATGGACCATTTCACTGCTGCAGGGGAGGAGGCCCCGTCCAGACGGGGTGGATCCAGCAGCGGAGCAGAGGGCGAGGTCCAATGGTGTGTCTTCGTTCCGGGAGCCGACAGCAGAGAGAGGCTGATCTCACTCCTCGCTCGCCAGTGGGAGGCGCTGTGCAGCCGGGAGCTTCCTGTGGAGCTCACCGGCTGATTGGATGTCGGTCAGGTGGATGACCTAGTTGGGAGCTGATGGCAGACGGAGTCATCATAAGAGCGAGATGATTACCTAGCAGATTAAGGGCTTGGTTAGCTGTTTAAAGGCTTCAATATGCTGTAAACGAAGAAGTGTTTTCTGACCACATCTAAAGGCAAGGCTTTTTCACATAGAATGGTGGTCTGATAGAGAGTCTGGCAAGATGTGATGAATCAATTAAATGGGGCTTACAATGGATTGTGCTCGGTTGTCCATATGAAAAGCGACACAAATAACCATGGTGAGTGTTAAAAAAAAGTAAGAAGAACAAATCCTGTGTACGTACAATAGAGCTGCAACAATTAGTAGACTATTAAAAGCATATTTCTTTATAATCAAGGTAACTTTTCATTTGCAAAAAAGAAACAAACTACTGTTATCAGCCTCATGAGGTTTCCTGCTTTTATCTGTTTTATCTCCTATTAAACAGAATATCTTTCAGCTTTGGACCGACAAATGAGGGAAAACATTTAAAGATAACACATTGGAAATCTGGAATAGACATTTTCACTAGATTCTGACATTTTATAGAACAAACTGTGATAAGCAATAACAAACGTTCTCTTATTCCTCCAGCCAGTCGCATCATCAACTCTGCTTTCAGAAGCTATCCCTGGCTGCATCGTGCTGCCTCACCACCTCTCTCAAACACTTCTTTCAAACACCTCTTTTGTGTATTTTGCATGTCCTTGTAGTCTTGAATAGACGTTTTTTCCTAGAACACATTCCTTGTGTTGCACTCAGTTCTTCACATGTAAAGTGACAGCAGGGTTAGCAGTTTAAAAAAACATGCTTGAGAGATAATTTGACCCTTACACCTCCTAACATGGAGGCAATCCATGTGTAAAGTTGCCATGATTGTTGGTTTCAGACAAGCACACAGTTTGAAGCATACTGGGGTCTTTGGTCGTACTTCTTACAGATTGAAAGGGATCTGGCTTTGTTCAAACAACGTTTGGTGTCCGCTCCAGAAAAAAGTCTTTGTCGAACTCAAAGGACCGCAGACTGCCATTACAGGCCTGAGACCTCACACTGAGCCGAAACAGTCGGAGTTTCTGGCACAACCTCACCTTATTTTAAAGTGTCTCACACGCAGCAGATTTACAGACTTGAGACACGGACAGACAGACAGACGGACGGACGGACAGAATTGTGTTGCACAGCAGGGGGTGCTGCAGACAGTCAACAGGAGTTTACTACCTTTTAATCAACATTACCTTAAAGGAACAGTTTGTCATTTCAGGTATATCCTCTTGTCCTCCCCAGAGTCAGATGTATAGCAGTTTCATTTCTGTGAGTTCAGTACAAATAAGTATAAAGTGTTATCCTAGCTTAGCACAAAGACTGGAAGCAGGGGGAAACTGCCAAACGAGCCTCATTAAAACTCCAAAGTTGTCTGATTTACATGTGTTTATTTATGTAAAGTTGCTCTTAAAACCAAAATCCATGTTTTTACTTTTCTGCAGTCTGACTCTGGGCGAGGAAACAAAAGGGATCTTCAAAAATGTTGGACTGTAGTTTTTAAATAGCACACACACAAGCTTACACATACACACACTCGGCTGCTCTGCACAATATGCTCTCTGAACATTTTATTCCTTGCACATTGATGAAGCAGTATTGTTGAACTGTGTATTGAAGCTTTTTTATTGACATGATATTAATGTAATTATGTTTGGGGCAGACGGATGTTTTCCATCCTAAAGCAGATTTTGTACTAAACGCGGAGATCCTTGAGGATTTTTTTCCAAAAAGAACTCTTAAATATCTTATTTAGTATTATCATTAAGTATTATTTTTTATATTTTCTTAGTTTTATTTTATTGTCTGTTTTGTCTTTTGTACATTGTTATTGACAAATGGGAAGCCAGTCAGTGCTGGACCCTGCCACCATTCACCACTGTTGTTCATGTTGTCTTGTAAATGGGGAATGCCACTCAATTAAAGTGAAAACGAAAACTCCACAAGTAACTATTTCCTGTTTGATGAGGTGACAGTGGTTTGATTCTTTGACTGCAGTCTGCACATATTTCAGCCGATGCAGCATTTAAACCAGAAAACCAGTCTACTGGGTTACTGATGGCATGCAAGTTTTAAACCTTTCTGTCATAATCCCAACTAAAACATAGTGTGAAAAAATTGAAGAATTATGCCAATACTGTAAAAATGATTCCTCAATTCAAATTTAAGTTATAAGATTGTTCTTCATAGCAGTGCAGTGGTTCTCAAACTTTTGAACTTTTTGAGAACCCCC